AGACTCCAAGCCTGTGTGACATTTCCTTCTATGGAAATATTCTGTTCCTCTGATAATCTTCATCGCAATCCCATTCAAATTTCAAATTATTCTAGGCACTATTGCTATTGCAGGACAACAGTACTGCCATTTCAGATGCCATTTCAGTTTTTAAACATTTGCTTTCCTTTCTATCCCTTCTTAGTAAACCACTAATGTTCTATTTCCCTTTTTGATCATGGCTAAAGATTTAAAATTATTCTTTCAATGTCTCCTTGCCAAATGGCTGTTACCGATTCAGTGCCAATAAATATCTGTTCATTGGTAGCTTTATTTTTTCCCCATTGATACAGTTTATCTGCAGTCTTATGATCTACATTCAGCAGCCAGCACACAGGTCTGCATCTGTTCACTAGTATTGTAAATCTTAGAGATTTTGAGCAAATATGCACCATCAGCAGATTTGCTCCACCTTCCAGCATAAAACCTTCAAATGGGAACACCTTTGAAATGCTTGATTTTTTCCTGTATTTGTCATCTTTTAGCAAGCTATTAATAAAAATGATCTTCCTTTTTACTCCACAAGAGCTTAGCTGGTTTAAGAGCAGACTCATGAAAAACAGCTGGGTACCAAGGGCATCGTATCAGCTAAATCATTCTTGTTACTGTGTTTGTTTATTTTATTATTTTTTTAATCCATCTCCCTAGTACAGAAGTCAGACGTGCTGAAGCGCAGTTCTCCAGATTTGTGCCACAACCTTCCTGAAAACTTTCCTTTGATATAGAGGCTGAGTTAAACACTCAGTGGCACAGTCCACAGCTCAGAACCTTAATCTCTGAGTTTCTTTTAAAATCTTGAATCTGTTATTGGCTATTTCTTGTAATTCAAATTTACAGCTTTATTCTAAACCATACCGTTATTCCACTTCTGACACTTAGTCAGACTAAAAAACATTTTCGTTTTCACAGCATTTTCTGCATTACTACTCTTGGGATGAAAGGGTCCAAAGCAAAAGACTTGGTGAGGAGGCAGTAGGTTTCGCTCAAGAGACTGGCAGCTGGCCATGTGAAGCCTGGGAAAGATCAGTGGGGGAAATCCCATTTTTTTACACCTACTGATGTTTATCCTGTGCCTGTTTGAGAAGCAGGATTTCCGTGTAGAGATAACACCTTCTCACAGAGTAGGCTTGAGGGCCCTGCTGGAAGAGAGGGAGACCATAAAGGACAGGGGAGTGCACAGCCTTGAGGTAACGCACACGTGCCAGGCCTGTTGTGATGCAGAGGCCAGGAACAGCCCCCACACTGCTGTTTTGCCCACTGCATGATTTTACAGCAGTGTATTTGGAATAAACTTTTCCTTAATACCTTAGCTATGCTTTGGTCATCTGGGTTTACCTGCATGCAAATCACTTTTAACACTATTATTTTAATGACAACCCAGTAGAAATGTAGTGCATTAGCCCATTGCTGTCACAGCCTATGGCCATCAGCAAAGGAAGTTGTGTGGCAAATTTCCAGGATATACTGGTTGAGTTCAGTTTTGAAGGAAGAATGTAAGAATTTCCAGAAGGAAATGTGTTTTAAAGAAGAATTGGTTTGAAAAATAAGAACATTTGCAAGCACAGTGTCTGGACGCCAATCTGTTCTTTCAGGGAGCAAATATTCAGCTCAGTTTCAAACTGACTTTTCCTGATGTGATCATATTTGTTCCCTGCTCTTAAGGTATTGTCAGTGAAACATAAAAAAACCCCAGTAAAAAAAAGTAGGTATTTTTTTACCTGACCTGAGAGATATGTATTTCTTTTCCTTTTTTTCTTTTTCATTGACTGAATAAATATAAATCTGATATTAGTTCAGTTAGCAAATAAAAACCTGGTGGTTGGGCAAAACACAAATACTGCCCAACTGGAAAAGCTCAAAAAGCAAAAGACATTTTTGTTCTTTATGGCAAAGTCTTTAAATCCACTACAGAGCTACTACTGATGCCTAACTTTGATATGCAAACCAGCATATCTAAAAATAAAATATTTGTAAAATTCAAAATATTACCTTGTGAAATAATTTTATCTGCATTTTAATGCATGAATAAAGGGTGAAAAAGCCATTCTTGCTTACACATAGCATCTTGTTTGTTCCTATTGAGTTTTTCTCAATCTCTCCCAGGATCATTCCCTCCATTTGCAGATATGGAGGCTGAGAAACAGGGCTTGGTTTGGTCAAACTCAACAGCAAAGAAGGGAGCAGAAGAACCCAGGTTTCCTCACTTTTAATCAGAAGCCTAAAGCTGTGCCTGGTGTATGTTGGCTGATAAGTACCAATCTGGCTCTTGTGGCCTGAAGGTCTAAAGGGTCATTTTTCTGCAAACAAAGGAAACCGCTTTAGTTGTACCTAAACAGCATATCATTGTATTATTCTAGGTATGTGAAGAGATTCACTGAGATGACCAGTATTGTGTCTGATTTAACCCATTTACAAGCACCTGTCCTGGGTGAGTGGATATTTTAGCATCCAGTTTTGCCCTTCCCATGTCATGGTAGTATATTTGTAATGCACTATTGAATTTCAGCAGAATATTTTAATCACCTTCTTAACAATATATAATTATTGTTGACAGCAAACCAACAATAAGAAACACTTCTAGATTAATTAACAGTGACCTATAATTAAACACTGCAATACTTAGAGATGGAGTGGTCCCTAGATAATATTGCTCTAGTTTTAATGAGTGTTTATCATTCTTGTTTGCTTCCCCTGTGGCATTTATCAAGGTTAGTTACAAAATTTCTTAATTAAATGGAAAAACATAGAAGACACTGTCCTAACAGAAAACAGCTTGAAATATTCATGGCTTAAGCATAATCTCAAAGTACGCAGACTCCTGCCCTGCAAATTTTTAATCACAGTTTACCTCTTTTCCTTAAATCATACCCTGACACTAAACAACAGTGCTGCATTCTAGGATTGTTCCTGTTCCTTTATCTCTGAAAGATAGAAATAGGTGTTATTAAATGCTTATCTTCTCCAACATGTGAATGGCTCAAAAAATATGTTTTCAAATTAAGCTTTGGTATAGGATTTGTCATTCCTGGCCCAAGCTTTGCTAACCAGTTTCTACAGCAATTAAGTAAATCTCTTTATTGCACATTTTCAAAATGCAGTCTGACTCTTAAATTAGATTCCTAATGGAATTAAAGGATCACATTCCTAACAAATTCCATATGGAGTTTGGTACCCAGAGTGCTCTGAGGAAATAATCTGACTTTCACCAATTCTGCATTTTCAGACATCACCAGAAACAGCAAATTCCACCACCTTGAGAAAAATTCTCTACAATTCCTATTGTTTCTGTTTGAAAGCTGAAGTAACTAAAAAGAAGTTAACATATAGGAGGAAGCTCCATCTTTCAGTTATAATATGCTTATAAATTCTTACTAAAGCTCACCTGGTTCATACAAGTAATATTTCTACGATTACACTATATACAATATGATTATTATATGCAAAATATGTAAAGACAAATATTGGTATAGGTAAAGAATGATCCTTATATAATATGAAATTTTTCTTCAGTAGAAATCCTGATCATCTTCACTGTTGCTTTGCATTGTACTGCTGGCAATGTATTCTTTATTTGCTTTCTTAGAACAAAAAAACTATGCATGAAAGGTTATACATAAAACATTAAAATGAGCACAGGAAAAATCAGAAAAAAAATGTGAAAATAAAAAAAAAAGATCTTGTTTGATCCCAGCCCAGTCTCTGTACTAGCTGGTCTGAGTAGTTAAAATCAGACAATCTTGGGAAGGGAGGGAGGTTATCATTGTTTAAATCCTAGGTAAAAATAGAATACTGGTTGGGTTCAAATGAAGGTTATTCTTAGAGTAACTTATTCTTACAGATTCTTGCTGCCAGTCTAGATACCTTTTATGTTAAAGCAGAGTTGCACAAAAATCTCCAAGGGGGACAGACCATTAGAAATTACAATCTGGTAGCATTTTTAGGTCTAATGCAACAATAAAAAAGGTCTTGAAAAATAGAAGGTTAAGGATGGACCACTTACACATGTCAAATATGTAACCAGAATAGTTATCTGGGAAGCTGAAGGAGAGCTGTCTGAAAAGTGTATTCACTCACTGCCAGTTCTTGGCCTGGTTAGAGCTATGTGCTTGAAAGAGCATTTCCCAACCCTTTCTGTTTTTCTCCCACCATGCAGCACTTCCCATTCCCCGCTCACAGTCTGGCATCAGATTGTGCCAGCCCTGAAAACTGCTGCAATTTACTGCTGAGTCATCACTTCACCACTGTCACAGAATATCATCATCACTGCTCTTATAGGAATATCGCAACAGCAACCTTTTGGTACGAGAAGGAGAGAGGATTCCAAGACATAGGCAGTGGAAGAACATAGCATAGTAGGTTCTTTCAGAAAAAGCTATCTTCTTCAAAGGAAGTTCCTTGGGTTTTGTGATCACTGGTTTGGAAAACAGCAGAATTAGTGCTCCCCGTGCTTTCACCTCTGCTCACAGGGTATACTTCCAGAGCACCCAAAGGATCAATGTTTGAAGGCAATGGGAACTAGAAGAGACTTCCGTTGTTTATCATGGTGTTGCTGAAGTCTTCTGGGGTTGACAGATGCCACTGCAGAAGGTTAATAAGATGAAGAAAGCTCTTCCAGCTGGACCGTAAGAGGGATTATGTCTGAGCAGCAGATAAACAGATTATTCCAGAAACAGACACTGCTTTTTTTTAAAACTTCGTCACTCTTGTCTTACCACTCCAGTCCCCCAGGGTAGAAGTGTGTGTGTTGAAGGGGTTTGCCCAGCTCTTGCATTCTGGCACCTGTTGCACTCTTCCTAGTTGCAATTCAATGCAGTCCAAGGCTGGGGACACCTGAAAAATAATAAGACAAAAGACGTTTGGGGATTTGAGTTCCTTAGGAAAACAGAATTCTTCTACTTGACTGAAACATTCTTATTTCCTGCATGATTGGTCTTGAAAACTGTGAATGATCAATAGACAGCATGCATTTGAAAACTGGATTAATATTTTTGATCATTTGCCTTGCTCTCCAAGTTCAGGGAAGCAGAGGTAAGTTCATGTATTAAAGGTTTAGATTAATTTTACATTGCATATGTTGAGAAAATAATTTCAAGATCAGAAGTTTTCATACTACAGAATTTTGTGTTTGGAGCGTGGTGTTTTGACAATTCAGCTAGAGACAGTACAGTTACTGACACTGCTATAAAGCTGAAAAAGGAAATGTTGGCCTCAATTCTCATGTATGTTTCCCAGGCTTTACAATCTCAATAAGAGATGCCATCTAGATTCATTTTACCTGCATATGTTCTGTTATTACAAAATATATTTTCAAAAACAACCATAATGAAGGTGAAAAATAGTTGAAAGAACGTCTAAGTGCAGACGTTGTAAAAGATGGTCTTTCATCCCTGAAATGAAGAGAGAATAGTAAAGTCTATCTTTGCTTTTACTCGCCATTGTCAGAAAAAAACTTCAAAAACTTTTAGATAAACAAATTCTGGAGAAATACACCGTTCTGACAAATATACAAAACCCAGCAATACTAGTAAGGATTACTGCAATAATAATTGTAAAATGATTTGCAAGAAAACAAACACAGACAACTCCTCTGTACTTAATTCATTAGCTAACTATGTCGCATTTTAAAAATATTTAAAGGGTCACAGCAATTTTAAAGCTTCTTCAACAACAAAAAGGAAATGATGGTATATGATTTTCCCAGATTATTTCTATATTCAGTACATTTAGAGCTTTGGTGAATATGTTTAATTTTAGAGGAGGTTCCTTAATAATGTTTCCATCTATGCTTTGATATTTACATAATTGAATTAAAAGCCAGCATAACAACTGCTTTATGTGCCCCCAAGTCAATGATTTCTATTTTTATGTCAATCTCAGGCCTGTTAATTAAATGCAAAGAATGTAAAATGATAAAAGAGAGGCATCCTCAATGTTCTCTAAATATTTGTTAAAGAGACAGTGTGAAATATAGTCTTCTGTCAATAATATTTGGAAAGTTTTATTTACACTTTTTGTCTTTCTTTTCTGTGCCCAGATTTCCTTTAAGAAATACAGTTTTTATATCTCACTTAAATGATGTAAATCTTCTCTAGTGGACAATTAAAGCACTGAAAAAAAATCCCTGGAAAAATGTACTATATAAGTTAACACTAGATTCATACTGTGCTGCTCTTTGATTTTACTTTTTAATACCATGTAAATAGTGTCATTTAATCACTAATGATATTTTAGAAATGCGGCCAACAATGAGAGAACGAGTGATATTTCCTGCCCAACAAGAAGAAAAGTTCTATGAAAATGCACTGGTTTTGCATTTAAGTTGCATATTCTGTGATGGAAAGAGACGGAATGAATTCCAGGCAATTCATGCATTGCAGTCCATATTTCTAATTATGAACTGAGAAAGCAATAATGTTAAAAGTGAGGTCACATTGTTTCACCCCATTGCAAACTGTGACTGTGCCTTACAACACATTTTGTGTAAAACACCAGCAAAATGCTGGGAGGCTATCTGGACAGAGAGGAATACAAAATTGGTGTCACCTCCCTAAGAGATGCAGTAGAAGACTTGCTACATAAAATGTTCATCAACATTCAGGAAACCACGACCACTCATGAACTTTACTTAACATCTTGCTTATTTAGCCATGTTCAATTTTTCTCATTTTTGATAGCTTTGAGGGAAAAAAACATTTCTATACATTCATGTGAATAATTAGAAAAATGTCTCCCCTTTATAAAGTATATGCAGTATTGATAAATGTATAATAATTCCTTTTTATTGACAAGAAGTCATGCCATGCATAATATTTTTTAACTATGTTATTTCAAATGTATGTACACAGATCTCAAAAAACTTAATGGTTGTGGTAAGAAACTTCTTTTTCAGAGCAGAGATGTTTCCAGAACTGTTATTTTATGACTTAGCTTTAGGGTCACATACTTAGACAAAGTGTTTTTCAGAAGTACACAGGCTCTCCCAATAGTCTGAACACTTGTACGATTCACTCAGTAGTGAACCTAACACAGATGTTTTGAGGCTTTTATGGCTGTTCAAGTTTGCAGGACATGTAAACTGTGACAGACTAGGAAGTGAAACTATGTTATAAAATATCCCCATTTTAAATGAAAAAACATACAGACAATTTCTAAATATTTATAGAGTTAATCAGTTGATATCTTTTTCTTATTAAAAAAACAAACAAAAAAACAACCAAACCCCAAACAAACCTATCTTAAATTCAAAATCTGCATTTACTCACATTTATATTTAATAAAAAGTGGGTTAACTTTTTAAAAGTGGGACTTGCTTAGTAATGTCTTTTGGTTCTTCCTCCCTCTCCCTATTTAAGGACCAAAAGAGTGCTTCTTCCAGACATTTGGAGGCTGTCCAGGAGCACCTCCAGTTCCACAGTAAACAAACAGAAAACAGTAGGAAGCAAAATAAAGATTGTAGAGACACAGTGGTTAACTTTGGCTGTAATTTTCCCACTGTCCTGACACAAATTGTCTCTAGCAATGGGAAGGGAAAGTGAGGGGAATAAAATCTTTGTGACACCACAAAATCTATGCAAAAAATCTGAATAGTAAAATCACTGAACACCCAGACTAAATACCAAAATCCAGAGAAGCTTTGAACACTCAAAACTATGCCTTGTGGCTGGATACATCCTGGCATTTGATACTGAGAATGTAAGGGAGCCAGAGCATGTCCAAGGCTGCTTTGTGTTATTTTTTATTCAGCAAGCAACTATTTGCTATTTACTCAGACATTCCTTAGGACACAAAGGCTTTGTGTTTGCTCTATGAAATCATTTTAATTCATTCTGACTCACCCCTTCCCGCTAGGCTGTTCCAGTTCAGCAATAAATGTTGCAGATCTTCATTACTATAATTGTCCAATAAAAAAAGGGTTAAGCAAACTTGTTAAGCCAACAGAAAAGGTAATTCAAAGAACATAAAGCTTCAAAGAAAGAAAGGACATCTGCCTTTTGCCCTAACATTATCTTCTACCTTCATCCATAAAATAAGAATTATCAAGTTAAAGTTAGGTTTCTTGGTTGTGCTTATAAACAAATTAAAACCTTTTTTTCAAGCAAATGTAGAACTGCATTCTATATGGGTTTTAACGTTACCTATTTTCTGGATAAAAGCCAAACTTGAATACAAATACTAGAACCTTGTCACTGAATCTTAAAGATTAATTCCAGAAATAGTCACACCCGTGACAGAGGGATCAGTGAACTATATGTGAATGAACAGCTAGGTATGCGGGATTTTTTTCTCTGAAAACACCTGTGGACAAGATGATCACTATTAATAGGATTTCTCCTTTTACAGGACATTATTTTACAGGCTGCAATAAAATAACCTGGAGTCTTAACCTTCTAAAAATGCAGATCATTTACCCTATTCTTTATTTCTCAGCTAACTGTGAAGTCCCCATGGCTTCAGCAGGGCACAAAGTGACATGGCCAACACCCATCAGATGTAGCAAACAATGTCTTCTTTACAGAGGAAGACAGTTCTTCCTCACAGAAGGAAAATTGTGTATGCATTCTACTACATACATTTCAATGCTTTAAAATATTTTGTATATGTTTTCCTCCTGCTTTTTTACCTCTGTCCAACCTAGTTCCCTTGGGATTAAAATTAGTTTTCTGCTCATTTTCTATCACACAATTCTTCTATTTTTATCAGGAATTAGATGCACTATCCTGCACATTCCATGCATTTTGTACTTTGTAAGCCCAGCTGTGTTTCAATTTCTTCCCCGTAGGAATGTATGATATTGAATAACACATGTTCTAAAGGAAATATCTATCTCTCTGCCTTTATATACATGTATACTAGCATCTAGTCACTGTCAGCTGCTATTTACTGGACAGACAATTCAGAATAGTAACCTATGTGGGAAACATATGATTAACAATCATCTGGGAGTAGCCTGACACCTGCCACAGTGTAGGTGTGTTTATACACCCATCCATAACTGTAGCACACCTTATCACTCTGTGCAAGCACACTACCAGTCTGACAGAGTAGCACTATCATCCTCATTTCACAAAAGCATGAGGACCTGAGGTATAACTCAGAAACTGAAGTCCTGACTTGTAAGAAGCATCGCAGTTATAAAGCAGGACAGCAACAGAGTTTGCTAGGTTGATTCTCACAGCAACTGCCTAGTCACACAGACATTTGCAAATTAGTAGGGCTCAGACTCATAGCTACATTAATTGTACTAAGGCCACCGTGCTTATCTTTTCAGGGATGAGGTTCTACTGGCTTTTAAACTTCTACTTCAGTGCAGAGCCAAAATTATCTTCTTACTGGCCACTCTGAATCTTTCAATACCTCTCTCAGACTTTACCCAATTGTAGATTAATAATCTTAGTAAGCCAGTTAGCCCCTAAAACTGGTATTTCAGGTATGTTCTAGGTATACCTTTCATACATATGAATGGACACAGATCATAGAAACCTGAGCAGTTTCAGGTAGGAAACAGCAAGGCACTCTTTTTTTGTGTGTGTGATTTCATGGTGACAGCACAAAAATGAAGATGGTTCTAATCAAGTTCTTTTCCCTTTCCTCTTCTCCATCAAAACTAGACAAAAAAGTTGCCATGCTTAGATTGAGAATTGGACTAGGTGTCCTCCAAACCAAACTCGGTCTATGCAGCTCGATACATAACTAAGTTAAACAAGGTTAAGTCCAAGTCACTCCCTGTCAAAATGAGGTGGAGTCAATTAGCCAGAGACTGCAGATTGTACTGCAGGATGAGTGACCCTAAACCCTGAGGAAAATCAAACTGTTCCAAATATACAAGCTGAAGCAAAGAGATGGCACTGGGGCTTCTTGCACCTGGAAGCATTCTCATATGCCAACCATCCAAATTGTCATCATATTTTAATACAAGTATCTCAACTAGCTCATTCTGCACTGAGACTCTTTGACTCACATCATCAAAACTTTTGAAATCTTGACACAGATGGCAAAGTATAACTGGAACATGAACTTGCGCTGTGTCA